AAGAAAACACCTAAATATTAAAAGGAAGATGGCTTGGAAGGGGACTGGAGTCCTTCATTTCAATATCTCTGGTTGAAGGATCTCTGGTTGAAATCTTGCCCACATTCGTCACTCGATGACTGCTCACTGGCCTCTCCGATACAAGTGGGTAACTTAGCCAGGGGCTTCGTAGATAAATTACAAAGCCGCCACCACCACAGAGACTAGTTCACCCCTTTGGCAGAAACAAGCAATGAATGTAAACGGATTTCACTGCTCAACCCTACTGGAGGCCCTGTGGCTCCAGGCTGAGGCATGCTGACAGAACAGCGTGGGATATGGTTACAGGACTGCTAGATACACCCAGGCTGACTGACACCTTCCCCTCAGGAGAAAAATGGCTTCTAGAGTAAAAAAAATAGAACATGTTCATCCAAAGTGCCCAATGAGTCTTTTAAAAGAACATCGTAAGGAAAGGTAATTTAAATAGCGACGCTTGATGGCTTCTATGTTTCTGGCTTTTTGTCTCAGCTAGACTTGTGAGGCCAAGCCTTATATCCAGCTGGGCTGTTCTGTGCACACTTGGGTTGACATTTAGGCATCTGGAAATGAGTTTTGGCCTCTATTTTTGATGCTTGGAATGTATGGTTACAGTTATTTCACATTTTACTCCTAAAAATATATTATGCCCCTGAGCCTTCTGTGGCTATGAATATTGCTTTTTATGTTCTCCCAGGAGAAGTTTTACCACAGACTTCAGATGGGAACAGAGTAAGAAGTAGGCCAATGCTGGGCACTCCTGAAAAAAAAAAAATTGCATCATATGCAAATACAAACACTATATACAGATACAGACACCCGTAAGATGTCAGAATTTGCGTGTCTGTTCAACACTTTTTGTTGTCTTCTATAAATTCTCACACAAGCTTCTATATAATTAAGTTTTAACTGCTGACTTTACAAAAGTGGCATAACTTTTTTCCAGGCACTGACAGTTGTGAAAAGAGCTACAATTGGAACAAGTTTTCTAGCACCTTTGCTGCTGAAAGATGATGTTTCATATGTAATTGTCTAGATATTTGTTAGAGTAACCTGAATATATATTTACAGTATCAACTCAATAATCCAGTCTTATGTTCAAAACAGACTATTCTGGGGCAATGGCATAAATAATAAGCACTTAAAAACTCCCTAAATATAGAGTTGCAATATTGAGTTAATAATTTGCATTTTGGGACAATTTTAAGAAAGGCTTCTGAAAGTGTGTCGCAAAGTCGGTGTATAACCATGTAGGTAGTTTTTTCTGTACACATTTATGAGCAATTGCATGCAATAATCAATTAGCTGATTTACATGGGGGCAAGTGTGAGGGGTTTTAAATTCTGCAGATGCATTTGCTTTTTGAAAATATGGCCCAATTTTGTTTTGATTAATGGCATATGGAAGAAAACAGCAGAGGAAAAAGTGACTCAAGCTGTTCTATCAGTCACATATTGGCGAGATGGCTGCAGTGCTAGCACCACATGTTCTGGCTGAAGATGTCTCTCCTAAAGACAGGAGCAGTATTATGAAGTGGTGAACACGCCCAAAGGTCAAGGTATTGCTGGGTCCGCAGGTAATGGAACAGCCAGGCAGAGCAGACATGGAAAGGGCCTTGCATTTGTTTTTTAAATTATATATATATATATAAATAAAATGTAAGAGAGTTTTTTTTTAAATAAAAACTGAAAACAATTAAAAATACACAGTGTGCAGCTAGCTAGTGCCAAAGGCAGTATGTGTGGACTAACAGTAAGATGTAGACTGGCAGTCAAGACTTCTGGGATTTATTCCCAGTATTATCACAGTGACCTTGCGTATCACTAACCATTCTGTGCCTCAGTTTACCCATCTAAAAATTAGGCTTAATGACATTGATAGAATGGTGGTAGGTGCTTTAGAAAAGCATGCAATATGTTTAAAAAAAGGAGTAAAGAAGTGCGAAGTATTACTGCTATTCCCTTTATCTACGGAAAAACTGACAGGGTACCACACAGACATCACACAGCTCACCTATAGACCCCATACATAGTGCTTTTATTTGCAGAATGGAAAGCGGTGGCCTGATTGATCCAAGTGCCACTTTTAACTACCTTGGTGATCCATAATAGCAAGGAAGAAATGTCCTCAACAACTGGTATTTTCTTATTATGAGAGATCATGGTCCACTAAGCAAGATTAGCCTACCAATTCCTTAATATATTTGCAGGAATTTAGGTTATTTCAGACATCCATAATGGAAAGGAATACAAATGGCTAAAAATCAAAGCAACCACTCAACTAAAAACAGATGAACAAGGATGGGAAGAGTCACATTATGCCACAAACTGCTAGTCCTGTGTTCATTCTCATCTCTTTCCAAACACACAGATGTCGTTTGTCTCTCAAAGTGCGAGAAAATTTTTTTTTTTATATATATATCTCCTTATTCTCCCTCAAGAATAGAATTCACAGATCTGCATGCTCGGAGTCCATGCACTGTTCTGAGCCACTGAACGCAGTTCACAGTGTGGATAAAGAGGTTGGAAAGCTGTGCTGGGCCTTCAGTTTTTCCCCTTCCAACTGACAGGAATTACTAGTCAGTCCATGCTTCATCCACCCATTCCCATCAAGATTGCTAATATTTCAGGAGTATTTTTTTTTTTTTTAATAAAGTCTTAACTTTCTTCATCTGAAACTCCTCAAGTTCATCTTAGAATCATAGACTTTAAGGTCAGAAAGGACCATTATGATCATCTAGTCTGACCTCCTGCACAATGCAGGCCACAGAATCTCACTCACCCACTCTTGTAACAAACCTGTGTCTGAGCCATTGAAGTCCTCAAATCATGGTTTAAAGACTTCAAGGTGCAGTGAATCTTCCAGCAAGTGACCCGTGACCTACGCTGCAAAGGAAGGCGAAAACCCCCCAGGGCTTCTGCCAATCTGCCCTGGAGGAAAATTTCTTCCTGACCCCAAATATGGCGATCAGCTAAACCCTGAGCATGTGGGCAAGACTCACCAGCCAGACACCCAGGAAAGAATTTTCTGTAGTAACTCAGATCCCACCCCATCTAACATACCATCACAAGCCCCTGGGCATATTTACCGCTAGTAGTCAAAGACAAATTAATTGCCAAAATTAGGCTATCCCATTATACCATTCCCTCCATAAACTTATCAAGCTTAGTCTTGAAGCCAGATATGTCTTTTGCCCCCACTACTCCCCTTGGAAGGCTGTTCCAGAACTTCTCCGGGTTACTCCAAAGCCTTCTCTTTGTGAAGGGAGACAAAACTGGATTTAAAGCTAGCACTTCTAATAAGATCCAGTCCTTTGACAGTATAATTGTTAGGAGACAAGAAGTGAGACGGAAGGGAAACAGACACTGAAAATGACAAGGGAAGGTACCCTGCAATTCTACATAGGGGAAAAAAAAAAGGGGGAAAGAAGAATACTTCATTTTATTGCCAAGAAATATTAAAATGAATGCGCAGAACATTTGACTGTATATGCAGCCATGAGACAGAATTAAAAATGCACTTGCAACTGCTTCCAGCAGATCCAAGGTTCATGCAGCACCACACATATGGACTCTATACGGTTGATCTGTTGAAGAACTGTCGTCTGAAGTCTCTAGTTACTAGGAAGTAACCTAGCTCTCATTTATACTCTAAGCATTCCCTGTACTAGTTCAGTGTGCTGAAAATGTAGGGGTCTCTGTGAGGACAAACAGCAGGGACATGGAGGGGAAGAGAAAGGTTTTGGGCCAGCACCAGCCCAGTGACAGCAATACCAGAATAGTTTACAAGTACTCAAATCTATATCAAGCAAGAAAAACTGAAGGTTTAAAAATTAGTCAGAAAAAGTTAAACATGCATAACACAAGGAAGAAGATTAGGTCACCTTCTGTCTTTTAGCCAATGACAAACAACTTGTATTGGACAAAATTATTATTTGTTAGGGGGTTTTGGCATATGCAACCAAAAAAGCTGCCTCCTGGATACTTTGGAAGGCAACAGTGAGCCCTACGTTCTGGAATGAGTCTGACTTCCCTTTGCTGGCAACATTCTCTTCTTGAAAAGGGCAGGACACCAGGACCTCTGCAATCTACTGAGAAGCAGAAATTATGATTTGCTCATGTTGCCAGCAGTTACTGTGCTATGAGCAAGGGCTGTGACTATGTCAAGCAGCAACTAAGGGAGATCATCATAATTATCATATATTGCAGTGTTAAAGGTGTGTCGGGGAGAGTACCGCAGTTCACTTCCTAGGTTTAGCTATCTTTGATCAGAGGAGAAGTAAGGTATAATGCAGGAACTTGAGTCTGCTGAGAAAGACTGGAAGAGGAATCCACACCACAAAAGCAGTCAGAGGGGCCCTCACAAAAAGGTGACATAGCCAATACTTATAAAAGACTCCCAAAGAAAAGGAATGACTCATCTGTTCCAAATTAATATCCTGACTATGTGGAAGCTACTTCTCCTTCCAAAATGTCATTTAATATTTGACTCAACCGGTACAGCCAGGACTCAATACGCCTTCAAATCATGAAATGAGACTGTTAAATATATAATCCACACAAATAAGTTGTAACTTATGATTTGCAACTGCCAGTGCAATGAGTTGTGCCATTTTCTTGGATCACACGTTTTTCTGTGCAGTTCTGTTACATCTTACACTCTCTTGGGGTAACCAGGAAGTCAACGTTTTTAGTAATTCTCCAACACTAGTAAGTCTTAGTGCTTACAAATCTGATGCTAGGGTAACAATATTCAATTCCCAGACCATGGATGGACTTGTAGAATTGATGTCACACTAATTAGAAAATGCTACAACGTCACTGTAGAAAGTAACAACTTGCAGAGGCGATATAGCCTGACTCACCAGAACCTGGCCAATCCCATGCATGGCATGGTGAAGGGAGCTAGAGACTTTAATTGGAGATAAAGCAGAGTAGCAAAAAGGCATGTTACAGCACATCTGATATTTAAAAAATACTCACTGGGTTGCGAGTTTCACCCGCAGAATGATGAACAGCCCACCAGTCAGATGTCCACTCCCAGGCATTTCCCACTATGTTGTATAAGCCATAGCCATTTGGAGGAAACGCTGTAACCTGGAGGGGCGATAATGTTGAAAGATCATTTATTACAGTCTTGTGGCATGAAATAGCGTTTAACTCCTGATGACCAACAAGTTAAAACACTGACTAGATGTTCGTGCTCTCGGATATCTGAATCAGAAACTAGGGAGTTAACCATGCAGAAATACAGAGGCTCAGGAACAAGAAAGCTATTTTAATCAGGATTTATACTCGAAGACAAGGGTTCAGTATTATATCTACAAAAGGGCTGAACTATGAAAACCTTTATGTTTTCTTTTTAAACAGTACAAATCCCTCATTGTTATGGACAATGACAAAATATTCTCAAGGTTCCTCCCCCAACACTTACAGGTACTATTGTTAAACTATAAATTATCTTCTTGCTGACCCTGCTATTGTTAGAGCCAGTGATTTAATTACAAGACAACAAATTCCGACTAGCAGCTGTGAGCAGATGCTGGGATATTTTCTAATCTACATGCAAACACATAACTGCACTTTGCATTAATGGGAATTAGATCCAGTGGATCATTGTAAGACTAGTTTACATCCCCATTTGTGAATGCCAGATTTCCCACCAAGAGAATGGAGCGTGTCTCCCAACTTCTGCCTGTGCTGACTTCCCTTCTAGTCACCACTTCTCTTAAAATAGCATTCACAGAAGTCTACATACTTAAAAGACTACAGCATGCATTTCCTTTGCAAGCATTAAAAACTTTGTGACTTCCTCACTATGAGATACTTCTAACCTTTATAAATGGAAGTTCACATCTTCCCCATTAAACAGAAAAAACACCATTCCAGAGGTCATGAAACTGAGTACCGGTATTTACTCAGAATGCTAGTCAAAAAGACCCACTATGTCAAAAACCATTTTGTTTATACAGGGCAAGTTATGCCATACTCATCATCCTGAAAGCATTAAGTGTTTTTTGAGTCAAAGGCAGAGATATAGCTAACTTTAGTGAATCTAAAAAGTTAAATGCAAGTTATTTTTAGTCTCCATTTCACACTTTGTAGGAATAAATGTATAGTGCCTTTCTCCATTTTAAGAGTCGTGAGAACTCTGCATGATGGCAACCTTAAAAAGAGCCTTTTCCACTGTAACACCCCTGGCTGGAATTAAACATCTTGTAGCTTGAAAAGCTGAAGTTGCGAGAAGTGTCCTTCCGGTGGCAGACACCTATTGAAAAACCCCATTACCCATCACACTGGGTGTACCCCTCAATTCGAAGGGGGTGTTGCTAATGTACTCTGACACACTTACTGGTGCAGTTCCTTTGTATCCATCCTCTCCAGTATTGCTTATTGGGAATTCTCCCTGCCAGATATTGGCATAGTGCTGACCTTTTGGCTGAAGCTTATTGCCCCATGGGAAAAGTCTGTTGGAAGAAACACAAGAGACAAGCTGTCAGAAATATGGCTAGCCTTTAGAGTTAGAGGCAACAGAAGGGAAAAAGGGGAAGGGAGAGGACTGCTACCAGTCTCAAAAAGCTATTTTGAATAGATTAATCAATGAAAAGCTGCCAATCTAGTTCATGTCGGGTACACAAAAATACTCTGAGGAATGCAAGTGCTTGGTCAATGTTTTGAACTTATATGGTCATCTAACTAGGTAGCACTACTGCTATAAAAAAAATGTTAAACTATTTTAAGTAGAGTTGATCCTAGAAAATTAAACCCAACTCCCATCTTTGTCAGTTGTTTTTTTTAATTGGAGCTACAACAAGAAAAATTACAAAGTAAATATTCTTTACATAGTTTACATCTGAGGAGCCGGACATATAGAACATATACAATCCGTGTTCCAACTCCATTTGTATAAACCCACAATGTTTAATAAGCCTTAAAAGGGATGATGGTTCTCGTATTGCAACTGAAGCTCTGCAGCACAATTTGCTGTTCTATGAGATAATGTTTTAGGTTTAGGATATACAAAATGACTGACATGAACCCAGTAGTGTCTGTGCAATGAAAGGAATTATGACTACTTGAGCTCTCTCTCTCTACTCCCCTTCCCAGTCCTTTTGTTCATCTCAAACTGGCTTTCTCGGACTCTTCGACCAATTTTGGGTCTGGCGGCAAGAGCCTTCTACATCACATCTCCCGTCACCTGCAACAGCATTCCTACATCTCAATCACAGCCTTATTGCACTTTGTCTCTTAGTTACTATTTAATTCCAACCTTATATGGTTATATGAAGCGTTTTCTGGGATACGCTTTACACAAAGGATGCTGTACAAAATAAAGTAGTGTTACATTTACTGCAAATGCATGTGCCTGTGCAAGAAAAACATTAAGGAAAATAAACACAGCTTTTCTCTGGATGTTGAGATATCAGAATCTTATACATGCACGAGGGAAGAGTCTTGACAAGTACCTATTCTCAAGGCCCCCTCGACAGCTGTACTCCCATTCAGCTTCTGTGGGTAATCGTTTTCCCGCCCATGTGCAATACGCTACAGCATCATTCCAGGAGACATGAAGAACTGGGTGATCCATTCTGATGAGCAACAAAAGACACAGAATGAGGACATCAGCATGGTCAACCAGCCTCACAGCTATACTCTGCAACAGTGCAAGCACCTTATGAAACACGCCCCCCCCCCCCCCAGACCATGTCATGATTTAATACAATGGGCCATAGACTGTACATAGAATGTTTATATCCTTCATGCTAGACTTCAGTTATCTCTGAACTGGGTGCACAGGTTAGTTTTACAGAAAAGAAATTATTGAAGTAAATACCAGAGCAAGGCATCAATCAAGAACACATACAAAGTGAAGAACAGCAAGTGTCAGAATAAGGAATTGAGGTGGTGGGGGGGGGAAATTGGTACGTAACAGCAGGTTGCACCACAACTATGCACTCTACCCACAGATCCAGCTCACTCTTGGATTTCCCCCATCATGCCCATTTGCGTCCTCACCCAGACTCCATTTAGGGAAGGGTCTGTAGAGCTACTAGCCACTAACTACTCCCATTGGCTTCAATGAGAACCTAGCTTATGAGCACCTCATAGGATCAGGCCAAAACCCCTTCGAGGCTGCAGTGTTAGCCCACATTTCTGCGGTAGTTTTAAGGGTATGCTGTAACGCATTAGAAAACGGAGTCAGAGGAAGAGCAGCCTCTGGATGGGGCAGTTTAGGTTTGTAGAGTTAGATAAATTTTTAAATCATTTTTGCTATTCATTTTAATTCTCTATTTTCTTTTCCTCTCCCCCTCAAATCTGTTTACTGCAGGGAGAAAGAGAGAAAGAAGGGTAATGGCAGGAGAGAATACTGGCCAACCCCTCACTTCACCTCAAGCCTCTTCAAACCTCACCATTTCGGAGCTGCAGTAATTTGATAATGGAAGCAGGGCTTTTTAATGCAGACTTTTACAAATGACTTCCATGTTTCCCCTGTTTTAATCCCCACACCGTCTTGCTCACACATTCCCAGCCCCTCCTACCCAAAAGAGACTGTTTCAGCCCTCTGAGACGGAAGGTCTCATTTATCCTGGTCACAATACACCTGCCCTTCCCCCCGCCCCCCAACACACACACCCCTCTTTTTCCACAACCCTCTAGCAGAGTGAGCTACCACCCTGCTAGTAGGGGCTTCTGGTACAAGAGTTGAATGCTCAAGGCTTCCGACTCACTGTATTAGCTATTGGTCTTCCTTTCACTTTTCCACATCTCACAGTCTCCACTAATCTTCAATCTTTGTTTCTTTCTCTACCTTTTAGACTATTTCTCTGTGATGGGAAGTTTGGTCATTATACTAGGCCAGACTCACAACCAACTCCTACAAAATGTAAGGCTCAGAGGGCACGTTTCCAAAGCTGTTAACTGCTATGACCTAAATCTCTCTTCCTTATTTTTTGTCTTGTCTCTTGATACCACCGCCTCTATTTTTGCTTCAGATAATTTCTCTTTATTCCCCCTTGGAGAGCAGATGATGTGCACCAGCCATCAAATGATGTTAAAGAGATGCGGCTCCCGTCCTTAAGGGATTCAATACGTCAGCTTCCACAAGACATAGGCTGAAAAAAAAAATCTGCTTTTTTAAAAAGATAACCCTAAATACATCAGTGAGAGATTAAAACTTTGACTAGTCTCTTAACGTGTAGTTACTGATCATATTTCATCATCATTTCTTTAACAATATGTAAGGCCACCAAACACAAGCTCCTTAACAATAACAAGATTTACATCTACATAAGTGTATCTCTCTGCAGCATTACACAAAGATCACCACTGAAGTATGAACCCTAAATAAATAAATAAATAAATGGTGATATCCTATCTCCTAGAACTGGAAGGGACCTTGAAAGGTCATTGAGTCCAGCCCCCTGCCTTCACTAGCAGGACCAAGTACTGATTTTGCGCCAGATCCCTAGGTGGCCCCCTCAAGGATTGAACTCACAGCCCTGGGTTTAGCAGGCCAATGCTCAAATCACTGAGCTAACCCTCCCACCCACCCACCCTCATTTCCCTCACCCCAACAAACCCATTGATAAAACTTATAGAAGGGCCTACCCTCCTAAGTCATTTAAGTCCCATTGACTTTCAGGGAGAATTAAGGTCCTAAATTGCTTAGACAGTTTTGAAAACTTTATTCCTCCCCTCAATATTCTGAGCCATTTTCTATAAAACAGATGGCATCAGAATTCCTGAACCATGGAGCACAGTCCGAGGATACCTTACATACAACTCTTTTATAATGAAAGGGGTGCAGCAGGGTTGGGAAGACAAATTAATGCAGAACATCCTCTGCTGATCTCAGCCACAGTGCTCTCTCAGGTGGGCAGGTCCTAGACCATCAAAACTGAACATGACACCTAAAGTCTGATCAAGCTTCAAAATTAATACAACGTGCCCAGCTAGTATATTTTATCTAACCGTGACAGAGGTTATTAGTTCTTTCAAGTGCTAATGCTTTAACTGGAGCAAATGCTTAGAAGTCCCAATTATAATATTATATGCAACAGAAAAAATACTATCTATGCACGGAGAAGCAATAGAAAGAGCACAGCAAGAAGCCCATCTCGAACCATGCCTCCCACCTTCTGCGCTGAGTTTCTACAGACACTTAAAGTAAATACCACAGTTAAAACGGAAAGGCCATGTCTGGCTCACCTCTTTGAGATACTAGAATCTGGTCCCTCAGGTTGCCTCCAATTAGCTCCTTTAACAGGCATCCACCAGGGAGCAGCTGCAACCTGAAAACAGGCCAAGTAGAATCAAGAAGAATGTTGTAGGCCTTCTAAATTCCCAGTCAGAGCTATTCTGGGAAACATCCATGTGACAACAGTGAAGAAGTGACTACACCTCATTTTTAAGCTCACAGCTCAGAAGTCTGTCTACTGCCTCCAAAACTACTGTGAGGAAGATCGTCTCTAACCAACTGAGACCCATATGTTTAGTCTACAGCATTAATGGCCAAACAAAAGCCAGTGCAAGTATGGATTAACGCACTGTGGACAAGAATAGCGGGGAAGTGAAGTGACTGAATCTGCAAAGTTTGTTTAATGACTGCTTTTCACTGGTATTGACCTGCTTCAGATTTTGAAAAGATTGAAAGAAGCCCAATGTTCTCCCAAGTCTCTGATGTTCTGAACTGCAGCTCGCTTCCTGAAAACACAATTTTGAGCAGGCTATTCACATCTGACAGCTCTGTCCTCTCACCAATTTCCAGTTGTAATCTTTGAGTCCTGAAACTATGTTGTGAAGCTTACCCAGGTCGTCTTATAGACTATTTTAGACTTTTTTTGAGCACATCATGTGGTAAATCAGATTTCATCTAAGCATCACAGCAATCTCTTTGCAGTGCTATGTGATGCTATATCCTGTTCCCCTGGTATGGCTAAAGAGTTTATTTTTAACTTACAGAGGGTCCTATGGCACCTTTGAGACTAACAGAAGTATTGGGAGCATAAGCTTTCGTGGGTAAGAACCTCACTTCTTCAGATGCAAGAAGTG